TAGTTCAAATCAAAGTTCAAATCAAAGATTTCTGAGACCAATGTTGAATACTTAAATTTCAGTAGTCACCAATCCCAGTCTTAAAATGAGTTTAGAATCAGTGGGAGTCACTGATAACAATAAACTAACTAGCTGCTGATAATGAGTCCAGTCCTGCCTTTCTTTTCCTTCTGTCCAAGTTTTGCAAGTACTTTTTCCAGGTATATGTTTTATTCCAAAGTATACAAACCACTATTGTTAGGGAAAAAATGGGTCTTCCAAGCAATTTTAAAAGACATTGTCAGAATGACTCTGCTCTCAGCCCCCCTTGTGGCTCCTTGAAAAGCATCCCCCCCCACATATGTAAATGAAAAGAATAAGCTTAAAAATCCTAGCCTTTTAAAATTGAAATTATGGAAAATTGGGTGGATGAATATGAGATACTAAGGGAGATGTTTCAAAAAGTAAGGGAGGCATTTAAGGGAAATAAAGAAGCAGAGAATTGGTTAGCTTGCAAAAAAAAGAAAGAGAAAAGTTGAATGAGAAGCAAGAGAAACAAGGAGATAATATTGAAAAGGAAATAATTGGAAAAAAGATAAAGATGATTACACTGGGTTCAATAGAAAAAAATGGAATAAGATGAAATATGCTGCTAATAATTAAAAAGATGAAGCGAAATTTTAGAAATATACTTGATAAATGAAAGAAAGACCAGGGACTCCATAGTGGAAAATATAAAATTGAAAATGAATACAGCAATAGAGAGGGATGAAGGAAGGAGAAGAGAGATGGAAGAAGGAAGGAGAGAGAGGGAAGGAAGGGAAGAGAAGAAGGAAGGGAAGGGAAATTAGAATAGGAGTGAGGGTAAGAGAGGAGGAGAAGGAGAAAGGAAGAGGAAGTAGGGAGGAGAAGAAGGGGAAGAGAAAGTAAGAAGGAAAGAAAAGAGAGAGATGGTAGGTTTGAGGAGAAAGATTGGAAGAAAGGCAACCCCAAACAAATATAAAGATATTAAGATAAAGAATAAATTGTTAAACTTTAAAAAATAAAAAAGAACAAATATGAATAAATAGCAATAATTTGAAACATACATACAAACATACAATGTATTTTCTTTGAACAGAGTATTTGGCCGGTTCACAAATTTAAACAGTGTTTAGTCATTTCAATTAAATTTACAATTTCTATATTTCTTTTTTGCCATATTTATTCCTCATCTTTTTTTTAAAAAAAACCAATATTACCCTTCATCCTCATTTCTAATCTTAATCAAATTCAATTTTTCCCTTCTATTCTATATTATACTCCTTCCCATTGTCATCTATTTTTATATCCATCCTCACATTGGTTAATTATGTAATACAGTTGTTTAATACAAATTCAACATTTTAATATAAATCAATTAGTTATATAACTATCCTTTTTGTATATTAATCAATATGACCATGAATATTCCAATTATTTCCATGCAATCCAATTTCTTACAAATCAATTAATTATATTTACCAATAATAATAAACCAAATAATTTCTCAAACCACAACGTAACCATTTCTGCTTTCAACACAATATACAATTAATAGTATCTCAATTATTACAATTCCCTAGTTAAATAGACCTTTTTTCTTTTGTATTTTAAAATCTTGAACTCTGCTCTTTTGCCCTAAATTTCCCATTGTTTGCATCTATCTTTTTTGGTGAGGAAAAAGAAAAGAAATCTGCCTCTGCCTAATTTTTCAACGTTGCAGCAAACAGCAAAGCCAACAGCCTGCTTTATTTTCAGTTTCGTTTTCAGCTTGATTTGCACAAGGAGAAAAAAAAATCTGCTCCAGCAATTTAGCTCTTTGCAGCAAGCAGCAGAGCCCTGTGCAAAACAGCTGAGCAAATCAGCTGATAGTCGGGAGGCCGATCCAATCAATGGGCTAATTAGCCTATGCTGAAGCTGAAAGGAGTTGTTTTTTTCTTGTTGTTTGCTTGCAAGGAGGTAACGGCACAGGCCAAAGGATGGGGGCCACCCTCCTTGCCACTTAGCGCCCCCTGCCCCCCCTTTGCCTCTAGTACCCCCCTGCCGCCCCCCCTAAGACATCCCACCCCCCCCAGGGGGCGGTACCGCCAACTTTGGGAACCACTGGTCTACTCATTTGTTTTCTTTTAACACTGATCAGCTGTAGGACAGCCCTTTGAAGCCCTGCGGCAAGAGTTTAAACAGTTTTTCCCCCTCTAGCCGATCACCTGGGACTCAGGAGGCAGCAATAGATTGGGTGTGGGAGCAAATAAAAGTTAAGAATAACGCGGGGGAGCAGAACCGGTTCGTGATGTCATATCGTCACCGCTACCAGCTCGGTGGAACCGGGAGGAACCCACCATTGCCATGCACGTACTTCCAGCCATCTTCCCAGGACTCTGTACCATGCAGTCGGCCCGGCCACGCCGCTGTGACCAGATATCCCATCACTGCCATCGCCTCCCTGTTCTTTGCTAATGGCTTTTGCGGCGGCCATAAGCATAAGAAAAGAGGCACGGTGGCTAGGGTTATGGGAGTGGCCATTAGGTAAGGGTGTGTGGGGTGCGTGGCACATGTTTCCCCTCCCTTCCCCCCCTCCAGCCTCATCTCCTCACCTCATGTTGTTTGCGCGGCAAGCAACCAGAGGAAATGGAGGGAACTGGCTGCACATGCGTTTAAATATTTTCAGGGAGGGCATAGTTTAGCACATGTGCTCAAAAGCCTGATTATCGGGGAAGATCTTATTTGGGGGGGGGGGGGGGACAGGATATTTCAGTCATAAGTCAAGGTACCCAAATGATTGGACCTGGTTTTTTAAAAAAATATTTTTGTGATGTTTGTTAAGTTGAATAAACTTGTTTTTCCCAAATGGGCACTGTTTGCCCATTTGAACCAGCCAAAAAGAAGTTATATGATTGCAGGATTTGCAACCAGTCACAAAGGCTAGTCATTTATCAGATGGCTGAAATACAGTCATCAGGGAGCACAACATGACAGCTGGATGTTCTTTATGAGCTATAAAGTACCCATTCTGAGGCCATCATAATTGAACAGTCATAAGATAACCAGTCATAAATCGATTACTACCTGTATATAAAGATCAGAAATGAGGTGGGAAAAGCACTGAGGTCATAGATTTTAAATGCTCAACATTGCAAGGGGTAAAGCCAAAGCTCAGTAAAATAAGCAAAAAGAACTTTTTTTCTCTTTTTTTTTGAAAACCCTCTCTTGGTTTGTTGTGGGTTTTTTTTTTTCTATCACTGAGTTTCCAGATGCATATGAAAATCAAAAGTCTGGACCCTTTAGATGAAATATTGCTAAGCCAAAGTAATGTTGCTAGCATCTTTTATTTCCAGCTGTGGTAGATTGGTTTGATAGGACTTGTGATTCAACAACATCCAAAGAACTATACATTATAAATACACACAGGATTTCCCCTCCACGAGTACCATTAGAAGCTGAACTTTTTATTGCTTTTTTAGTACGCATAACTGTCTCTAGATTTACAAGATACAAAAACATCTTTAAACAAAAGGGTTTTATTAATGTAGGAATTCTACAGTAATAACAGGCTGTGTTCTTGGCTTTCAGATTTCTGTAATTATCTCATTCCACTTCTTCGGAATCCATCAGTTTCCACAGCATAGACACAATATCAAATATGTTCCCAAATAACACAATTGGTTTATTGTTTCCATCCAAGACATACCAAAATGCATGAATTGTACAATGACTAAGAACACATGATGATGGAGAAGAAAAAAAAACCTTTCATGTATGCAAAAAATGAGAAGGTCCGGGAAGACTAAGAAATTATTCTAAACAAGATTTTGACATGAAGTTAATTTAAGGATGATCATGAATGTTCCTGTGTTCTCCCAGGTTGCACTAATTCAGTAGCTTCATTCCCAACTCACATTTTTACAAAATCACGTGTAGTTGTAGTAGGAGCTTTTAGACGTTTGTTTTAAAAATCTTAGGTTTGTTTAGGATTCAAATCTTGAATCTAAGAAAGAGGTATATAATTAATTCTGATAACACTTGGAGGATAAGTCTGAAGTTGACCTTCAATGAGTTGGCCAGCTGCAAGAGTGTTTTCAAGCTCTGTACATCTTTGGCTGTTTTTGCATTGTTTGCTGCAAAGAGCAGATCTTGCTCCCATCCAGAAAAAAAAGAGCAAAGGGTAAAATTTTCCTTTTTGTTCTTGGTTCTAGTAGAAGGTGGTTAAGACATCAATCTAGAAACCAGGAGACGAAGTTTAATCCCACCATTAAAGTCAGTTCGGTGATATCTCCTTTTAGCTTCAGACTCAGTACTTGCATCAGGAGAGCTGAATTTAAAGAGACGATCCCAGAAGACGGATATCTCTCAAGCTGCGGCAATCAGCTACAGCACAGAAAGCAATGGGCATGACTTGTTTTGCAGGCAGCAACCTTACTAATTTCACTATGGAGGTGCAGTAAAGGGACCATGGGATGGGCAGAAATTTGGAAAGGGAAAATTTTCCCGTCTCTGGGACAGAAGGAAAAGACATTGGAAAAGCCTTTTGTCCCAGCTGTGTAAATTACGGTAATATATATCTGCTGTAAATGTATAATTCTGTAAAATAAGTTTCAGTAATCTAATCCATTGGTCAGAAGAAAGAATGAGGATTGGGATATATCCTCCCAATAATGCATTTTTCCCAGTTAATTATGGACAGTTCTGTTTGAGAGTACATAGTACATAGATTGGGTTTTTAATTTTTTAAATTAAATTAAATTAAATTAAATTAAATTATTTTTTTTAAAAACTAAAGTAGCCAGATTCTTAATGTATATATATGACAGTCATATGTTCAAAATTTAACTTTTTAAAAAAATCTTTCTTGAGTGATTCTTGCTATTTTATATAAATTTGCATCCTCTTTGTTTATAATAGTATAAAATGGATCAACTCCAAAGTCGCTTCTACATTATTTTATGTTCCAAAATACAATAAATTGTTAATTTATAAAAATATATTGAAATTGAAATTGACAGGGTCCTTGTCGAAGAGAGATGGAAGACACATTAAACAATCTGAAGATTCTGAATGTTTTAAGTCCAAGAGGATTGCATATTCCAAACTGTGACAAGAAGGGATTTTATAAGAAAAAACAGGTGAGATGAACTATTTAGTACTGTATTTCCATTTCTACTTGCAGATGCAAATCCATTACCATGTAATCATTAGTAATCAACAAAGAATTCATGTTCATTTCCTGGTGTTTTAAATGCAAAATAAATTGGCAATAGTTTAGAGCACCTTTTGGCTTAGATCTAAAGTAACATGTCAAGTCTGGTTGTTTTTATTTGCTGTTAATGACAGAATAAACTTCCAACATAAGTCACAAATCAGCTGAGCCAGATTTTAAAAAGGCAGCAGGTCTCTGAAGAAAATAAAAAAGCAAAAGAAAGACAGCAAATATTGCCATCACCATATGACTGTACTAGATAATGCTTTGAATTATAAATAGCTGCCTGAGAGTAGCTAGAAAAATTGGGCTGGGTTATGTTACAGATGGCAACTTCAGCAACTCTATGTATCATTCCTTTTTATTCTACAGAAGATCACTTCTAAAATCTAGCTCATGAAAATGACACACAATGAAAATTTATTTCATAGTAATACTGGCATTTCATCTGGATCAGCCCTTGAGGCTGTGACCTTTCTGACAAATGTGAATTATTACAGCTATCTGTGCCATTGTTTACACTAAGGGTGGTCAGTGTAGCTGATTCAATAATGCTGATAAAGGGCCTTCAGTTAAACAATGCATGTTGCCATTCAATTCATCTCATTTGATTTTACAAGTATATGACCTTAATTTTTTTCCCCAAGAAAACTGAGAAACTCGGCAATGTGGCTGGGAATTTTGACAGCTGGAATCCCAGAAAATTTATACACCAGAATGTTTAGAAAAATTATGTGTGTATTCAAATATTAATTAAATTAGAAATGTTGAATTTCCATGTCCTTGATTCAATATGTATCATTTTGAATAGCAGAAATTTTCTTTGAATTGATTGTCACGTTAAGTTGAAAAATTAGGGGAAAAACTTTTATATGCAGATATAAACAAGGTAATGAATATCCAATTGAACAAAGTGAATGGAAAAATGTTTAGATCCAAAAGTTTCATGAATGATAATAAATGTACATTTAGAAAAACGGCTGAAAGATCTCACTGGTAACAAGGATACCCTGAAAAGCAAGTATTTTAATTGATGCAGATCAAAATAAAGTAAAAACTGCTATGACTAATCCTGATTCAGGCCTAAGAACTGGAGTTCTTTGATGACAATCCTTCACAGACATTTTTTAGTGATTCCATTACTTTGTGCAATGTAGCAAATTCTTCTCTGCATATTCTTCCATTAAGGAGAACATATATCTTATAGGCCAAATTCTCTTTGAAGTTGAAAACTAGCAGATAGGTTATACTATTTAGTTTGCAAGGCTCATATGATATGTTCTTCCATATCCCTGATGACTAATTTTGTGGTATGGAGAAAGAGCTTTCTTGTTTGTTTTAGGTATTTTTCTTTCTGGGGATGAGTGATTATGGTGAAGGATTTCTTCCATCTGATCACCAGATCAAAGTACTACAAATTAGAGTGGAATATAGAGGGAGGAAATCCCTGATTAATTTATAATAAATTAACAGAAATTCTAATTTCTAGTTGGCTAAAAACAACAGAAATGAAGCTAGAATTTAAAAAAAAAGTTTTGAGATTTGTGAAACAAGTGTAAATGTTTATATTGAAGAAATGTGTATTTCTATTCGCCAGAATAAATTCCTAGATTGAGAATTTCTGAATTTATTTCTTACCTTTTGGTGAATCTTCAAGGTTTAAGTCTGTTCAGTCTATATTCTAATTCAAGCTTCCCTAATATGTATATCTACATTTATGCTGAGATTCTAGGAATCATAAGCAGCTCCAATATATCTTGAAAGGTTGGCCTAGCCCATAAACATCTATATATGAACAAAAATATAATATCAAAGGTTATATAAGTAAAGTGGATTTCTGGTATGAAAACCGATCAAATATTAATTTAGATGGAACTTTCCTGTCATGTTCTAGATCAAACCTGCCACAGGTGTGGCAATTATTAAAGTTATATTTATTTTTCATGGATTATTATATTAACAAACTTGGCAGTAATCCATTTGAAATTTGTGGGAGGGACGTCTGGATCAAAAGTTGCAGATAGCTCAAAGGTATGACCACAAAGTTTTTTGTTTTTTTTAATCAAACACATGGAACACATGGAGCTGTACATCACAACCTCTTTTTCCTCCTCCCTCCTCCTCCTCCCCTACAGCATAGATTGTATTTTTAAAAGAAAATCTTGGTTGGCAGATAACCTATCTTCTTACGATGCAATTTTGACTCCACTGCTTTTATTAGAGAATATTATTAGTAAGGCATTCTGTATTTTTAGATGGGCTTTTATGTGCTTGGAGAATTGAAAAAGAGGAAAGTCTCCATCAAGTTATCAACGAACCTCCAGTGAATTCTGAAAAGTCCAGAGGCTTACCTTTTTTAAAAAAATCTGCTCTTTCAACGCTTATATTACTCTATGTTAGTTTCTCTATAATAGTTTAGAAGCAGCTCTATCAAATTTTTTGACGTCATGTTTAACATTGTCTCCTGGTACAGTAGTTTTTATGTTTCCTCGTGTACCATTTAGACAATTGAGGATTTTCTTCAGTTCATATCTGAAGTTGCTATTCTAGCATTATAGTCAATTTTTTTACATTTTTCCTTATAGAAGATTTTTTCTGATTTACAAAATTTCACCTTAAATTCCAGCTCTTAGCAAAGACAATTTCATTGACAATATAATATTTTTTCTGGTTTTTCAAACTTGAAAATTAGTAATTCTTTGTAATCAGTTGGTATGTATGATTTTTAAAATAATGTACTCGCATATATTTTATACATTAAACTTAGGCTAGAAACCAGGAGATTGTGAATTCTAATTAATTTTGATCAGTAACTTTCTCTCAACCCTGAAGAAGATGGCAAACCATTTCTGAACAATCTTGCCAAGAAAACTTCAGGGACTTCAGGCAATTCAGGCCAATTGGAAGAAAGAAGGGAGGGAAGAGGAGGAAGTTTGGTAATGTGTGATCCTCCAAATATTACTGAATAAAAACTTCCATTAAGATCAATCTGCAATATAGTGGGAATTGTAATTCCACAGAACATAGCGGGTTAGGCATATCTCTTTCCTGAATAATGAGATTCCAATTGATATTTACTGAGATTTTTATTAATCAGCCTTTGTATGTAGAACAGATAATATTTTCCGTTCTCTATGAAGTGCAAGTACAAGTTAACTTCGCAAGAATTGTGATTCCATTCAGCGGGAGGGTGGAATATTAGCAATAAGTACTAAGAGTGTCTCCCAATGAAATGTAGAATGTTGCTCAAGAGTATCCCAGATTCCATGACCAAAAAGCTGACAAAGATAATTGAATAATTAATCATATATGCCTTTTTAATACTTTTTACAGAATTTGGAAGCTACCTTCAATGTGTATAGAATGTGTATAGAAATAAGTATGCTAATTTATGAAAAATGAGCAGGGTGGTGGCAATTCAGAGACCCAGAGAAACAGACTAGCTTTTCAAAACCTGTCATAGCCTTTGCAAATTTCTGCCAAATGCTTCACACAGCACCAGGCATTGCTCCCTTCCTTACCTGGAGAAGCATAAATCCCAATCCCCATTTGAAAGAAATGCTTGTCAGGGCTACATATTCATGCATAACATAAAAGAAGAGAAGAGGCAGTTTTGAGGGACTGAGAAAGCAAAGAGCATGGAAGACTATACAACATTGTTCTTCATCTGACAAGACAGATCTCCAAGGACTCAAAGTCTCAACAATTCTGATGAACTATTCAGTGTAACCATTTAAACATTCTGTCCTCCTGCAGCACAGCTGTGGGGATTTCAATACCCCTCTTTTTGTGGAATGTATCTGATGCTTACACCAATATGGAGTGCAGCAACAGCTGCTACCACATGATGTCTCCATCTGAAATTACTGCAAACGATAGCTATGGCAGCAGCAATGATTTCAAGAAACATTTTACTATTCTCACTGATAGCCAGGGAACAGTTCCAAGTGGTAGAAATTACATTTATTGCATATAATTCATTGTGTCTTTACTAGACCAACAATCTGAGAATATGAATTGGAGTAGCCTCTTTCAAAGATTTCTGATCTAAAGGATGAGGAGTTTTCAGCAAACAATGATTCAGTTTTAACAATGATGTCAGGATTCAAAAAACTGTTACTAATATTTAGCACACAACTCCAGTGAAAACTGAACAGCTTTCCCTCTTTATTACCTGAACTTTGTGAGCCTCCATGATTGAAGGAAGAATAAAAATAAATATCAAAATTCAAAACCAGTGAGCTTCAGAGCTATAGTCTCCAGTGAGAAATTGAGTAGCTGGCACACAGTATTCAAAGTCTCAATATTTGGATTCTAAGAAAAGCAAAAGCCTTTCATTGCAATAATTAGAAACCTCTCACTATAAGCATGAAAACAAGGAATGCTCAACTTAAACTTTTAAAGTCCCAAATGGATAGTTGCCTTTGATGTAGAGATATCAAACTATCTGGAAAATGGGACTGCTTTAATACATTGAGAATTAGTAGATTTTCTGTTACATGCATTTATGTTTAGCATAGATAATCTCATAATGTTGAGACATTTCCTCTGTCTTATGGATTCAAATTTTAATTAAATTTGAAATTTTTACGATTGAAACTTTTTCTGGATTATAGAGTTTTAATGTACAATAAGAGCTCAGATGCTGGTCTGTGAACTATAATAAAAATTTGGTTTGTTAAGAGCTCAGATCCTGTATTATTCTTCGACTCCCCCCTCACTCCTCTGGTACCTTCCAGGCTAGATTGGTACTTATAAAATATATGATTATTTTATATATTAGATCATGTGAGCCCTCAGTTTCAGTTTGTTGACAGTTTGTAGCTAAAATGCACAAACTAGGAAAGTAGATTAATAGCACTTACTACTAGGAATTTATATTGAATCCAGGAAATAAAGGTATAATAAGTGACTGCATTAAAATGGATTGTTAAATTTATACCTCCAACATTTAGAAAAAATTGAAAGTAACAGAAGAAAACTTAATAGGGGAAAATGACTTTAAATTCCTTGTACCAATAATTGTGAGAATTGAGAGGGATAAACTAGTCGGCATTAGTAACCATTGACCCAGCATACATTAGATTTTTGGGATAAACATGTAAAGATAAATTTATATCTTAGTTGAGTTCAAATTCTGATGACCACATAGATCTTGTAGTTTTCTTGGCAATAGCCTGGAAATGGGAAAGAAGGAGCAGTATAAATGAAGTCATCTTTCTCTCTTCGCTTGACTATCTTATTGTTCCTGTCCTATCGAAGCTTTACTTGCCACTTTCTTTCTTATGGCATTGATCTGTCTGATTATTATTTCAAAAAGACAGAGGAAATAATTTACTTTTTTCTCTTTGAGTAAAATTAAGATTTGAAAGCACCATGTATTTCCTAGAAAGAAAAAAGATTGAAGAGGAGAAGTTGAAATTGTAACAAAAAATGTGGATTGATGGATATATTTGAGTAGATAAATTAATAAGAAAAAAAGAGTTAGTTTGAGGAAATTTAAGGCTTGAGTCAGGTGAAAGATTTATGCAATCTGAAGAGAAACTAAAAGTTGTAAGTGGATAGTTTATATTAAAGGAGCAGGAAGTTTGAGCTACACAAAGCTGTACCTTGAATAAAATACTGAAAAAAGGAATCTAGGTAAACAGCTGAGGCTGAAGTTCTGAATGGATGACACTGACTTGCCCTTAGGAGCAACCACAAGGGGGAATTGAGACCTTGGGCTGAAAAAAAGGTCCCTTGCTTCTAGACTGGATTGTTTATTTGTTTTTGCAAGTATGTTGAAAAATACTGCTGAAAAGAAGGCATTTTAGAACTTTTTTAAAACATAAGTAACTCAGTTTTTTTAATAAGTTGTTAATATATGATTACCATATTTGTAATTATTTTTATTCAATCTAAACAAAGACCTTAGGGATTGGTTGGTAATTTCAAATTTGTTCTCAGCATTTTTTTTTCTCTTGCATTGGCTTGATTTATTTATTTGCCTTAATGGGAATTTTCTGTTTTTCTACATCTCAACTAACTTTTCCTGCTTATTTTATTCTTTGTTTATGAAATGCCCTACCGTAATCTAAATAAAGTTAATAGATCTTTTGAAGATTGCTGCGTGCAAGACATTGTTTTGGGCAAAGATTGTGCTTTGTTATCTTTAGTTTTCTCTAGGTCTTTGATTCTGATTTCCCCAAAAAGATCTGTTTCAAAATCCATTAATGTGGGTTTTCTCAATCCCCCTGTCCTTTATTTACAACAGGAAAAAAATTCCATATATTTTCCTATGCATTTGTTTTAGTTATAGAGCAATTGCGGTGTAGGATGACAATTCCATTACCTTACCAGTAAGGTAAAAACCTTTCTGCAATCTTACTGTTAAGTTACTATTACCCAACCATTTAGGTAAGATAACCTAGCAGTGAGATTGCAGAAAGGTTTTAAGAAGTAATAGCTAATTTGAAACAATTGCTATTTCAACAGCAACACTTCCTGCAGCAGTGCAAATGCATTGGGAACGTGTACCTGTCACAGTGATAGATATTATGACAATGTATTTCTTCCATTGTTCCCCCTTTCCCCCCATAATCTGTTGTTTTAATAAAAATGTGAGATAAAGTCGTTACAGCAACATTTAAAATTTTGTATTATATATGTGTGTGTGTGTGTGTGTGTGTGTGTGTGTGTGTGTGTTTGTTCTAGCCAGGTTTTCCCTACGTAGCCAAGGTTTTTTTGTAGCTCCAGCTCAGTAGAATCTCATCTACTCGGTTCTGGGCTTTTTTCTTTTCTAACACCTAGCAAGCTCTCACTGCTAGGTGAGAGCTTTTATATATATATAATTTCAAATCCTTACCCCTGAGGAAACTATTTAAATTTTGCTACCAAATTTATGGTTCTAGAAAAGCTTTCTTCTTCATATTTCATCATCAATCTTAGCTTTGCTTTGGAGGTTTCTTCTAGCAAGCTTATTGATTTTATTGATTTACTAATTTTAAAAACTGACTATTTTCTGCAACAGTAGACATATACTAGAAATAAGGTAAAGAAAGGCTTTCACCTTTATTTTTTTTGGGGGGGGGGGTCTACCTATTAATTTCTGACATTCAAGTTCCCTAAGTGAATAGTATCCTAATTAGATGGAGAACCAGTACAGTATTCCTCTTTTTTCTGCCTATCTGTCACTGATCTAGTAGTAGTATGCTGTTACATGACAGCAAAAAATATTTCTTTATATTTTATCTGCTAGTATTGGTCCATTATCTATGAAAAATGGAACATCATAAAGCTTTCTATGTTATGTTGGAGATTCTTTAAATTTTATTTTTATTTTAACAACATTTTACAATGTCACTTATAAACATATTCTATTATTCTACTGGACAATTTTGATTCTATAAACAGTATGTCTTGCATGACAGTTATGTATGGGTTTTTGGATCAGTGTCAATAATGCTTTCAATATAGCAGATATTTATTGTAAACCTAGACTCTTTTACAATTAATAACTTTGCTTTTATGTAATTCTTTTTTAATAATCTGCTTTTAAAGGAGATATTTTTCAAGCCAACTTTCTGATTTTTTTCCAGGAGTTTCTCCAATATATAATTAGATGAAAATTGTGAGTTAAGATGACTTTGTCAAAATCTCAATAGTTTATACTCTGTACCCTGTATAACTGAGTCTATCTATAGTTAAAACATCATTGGTGAACTGTGTTAATTAGATGGTTAATTTGGAATATATATAACTTGACAGTCTGTTGAACAAACAGATTTTCATTTCTGTAGAGAAAGGTATATGTAATATTTATTTATAATATTGAATATGAATAAGACAATTAAGAAAATGTCAATGCCATTTATTGTTTTTTCTGAGTCACAACCATTGTCTAAATTGTATTAAAAGAATTTTATTTCACTGAATATTATCTTTTAAGACAACTGCATGCATAGGGTTTACACAGATTTCCAGGATACCTAGCAGTTGTTCAAGTGATAACTCTGATGCAAGAGATTATATATCTGCCAATAAATGTCCACTACAAGTATGGAATTCCTCTGACAAACAGATGCAAGTGGCGTTGTCACTGTAACCAAAGCTGCTTGCACAGGCATGTGTTCTCTTTAAGGCCTATCAAGAGGCAACTGCCTTTCTTTCCCAAATAAATTGCATGCATAATTCCCATGAGATTCCGTTGTACCCATTAAAGGTTGATGATGAGGCTCTGTAATGGTAAGACAGCTGTGGTGTGTAGTGTTACTTTGCATGATTTAGAATTTTTTTGAGGTGAATAAGAATAGTTATTTCTTTAAAAAAAACTTTATTAAATTAAAGAAGTAACAGGAAAAAAGGGGAAAGGGAATGAAAATGGCAAAAAAAAAAAAGACACATGACTTTTCTCAGTACAGATAAAAATGAATAATCAGGCATTCTCCTGGCAAGATAAATATTTGCTCTAATTCTTTAAAAAGATGATACAAATACCACTTATTCTCAAAGTTGGTAAAATTTGTATTGGATTCATTGGATCCAGTAACATGATTTTAAACATACTGCTTATCTGTCAGCAGCACTAGGAAGTTCTAAGCCAAATTTAACCAGTCTATCAATATAATCTTACTTAAATTATCCTGATATATAATTAATATGCACAATATTATCTGAATAAGTACCAGATTTTGCTTTCTGGTTTTGTGTTGTTTTGAGAAAAATCGTGTTAAGACCCCAATGATCCAGTAGTTTATACAACTAGTTTTTCAAATAAATTTTGCTAGAAAGTTTTAAGAGTGAACACAGGTAGATTATTTTAAGAATGATGTAATTAACATATTGGGTACACAAATACTGTTCTGATACCAGCAGGTATGGGTAGGCTTTGCAGGTTTTCTTGTGTTTCAGTTTGAACTAGAAAAAGCTGATATTTGTCAGACAAATTTTGTCTTACCCAAATCACTACGAGACATACACTTCTTTCTCCAAGTGCTTAGGATAGTTTTAACATCAGTTTGAATTATCAGTTTAATAAAAATAGTTATTCAAACAATGCAATTAATCTTTGTTGTGATTTCTCTTTAGAGAAATACCACTATCTTTAGTTAGGGCCCAGCCCTAAAACTATTAAAAACATTTAGATTTTTTATTTTTTGTTTTATATCAATAAAAATGTAACTCTTTTTCTCTCTGTTTTTTAGTGTCGCCCATCCAGAGGCCGGAAGAGAGGCTATTGCTGGTGTGTGGATAAATATGGGCAGCCACTCCCTGGCTATGATGGGGAAGGGAAAGGAGAAGTCCATTGTTACAATTTAGAAAGCAAATAAGAGGAGGCCACCATCTTCCATTAAGTCTGTATATGGCATCTTTACCAGCCAGAGGCCTTGGAGTGACTGGGCTACAGCATGGAATGCATTGGACTTGGGAATTCTGAGTTTTGGCCCCTATCTATATTGGGGAAAGTCAATAGCTCTGGATTCTGCAGCTGCATCCTGCCACTGATTCACTTTTTGCTTTCCATAGATTTATATAGGGAGCTCTGAAATCCCAGATAAATCTGCACTATTGATCCCCAGAATGAATAAGAAAAGAGAAAAAAGGCACTTCAGAATGGATTCAGGGAGCATCCACTCACTTTGGTTTTTGTTTTTTAAATAATGGCCTGTGACCAATTTGATCCCGAAAGATAACCATGCTTTTATTTTGAAGAATTTGTAGACTGTAATTATTGTGAAGATATAGGTATGACACAACCCAAGCTAGGCACTTTTAAGTTACATTGGCTATCCATATGTTTAAACATCTTCTATTGAAATAAAAGTAACTTAAGTTGCAATCTTTAAGCTTAAGAAAGAGTCCCATTAAATTCAGTGGGAATTTATAATTGATAAATGTGTAGGATTGTTCTATTAATAGTGCTTATCTTGGGCTGAATCAAACTCAAGGTTTTAAACTAAGCTGTTTTGTTTTTATACAGGTCTTACAAGAACTTTATTTCACGGGTAAAACATGTTTTATTAAAAGAAAAAGCTCAAAGAACTTTTAAAAGACACATGTTTCTACTTGGTTATTTTTCCTGTAAAAATATACTGTATTATGACTATTCTGTTAGTCTGTATTTAATATAATTTTTTAATAAACTATTTAAATGTAACATCAACATCAAATGTTACCCAATCATTATAGTGTATGCTTCCAAATTGTCTTTCCCAGAGACTTACCAAGTTCAATGCATGTTAAACAGGCAATGTAAAAGTGGAGTATCCACTGTGTGTGGATCAATCAATATTTACAAAATTCTAGATACAGAAAAAAGGAGTACTTTTCACTAGTTAAAGTGCAATGCTCATTAAATTTTAACTAGCGTTACTCATGAATCATTGTCCAATACTGAGTAACAGAATAACAGACTAACAAGAGTTGGAAGAGATCTTGGAGGTCTCCTCAAGCAGAAAACCCTATACCATTCCAAACAAATGGCTGTCTAGTCTCTTTCTAAAAGCCTCCAGTGATGGAGCACCTACAACTTCTGAAGGCAAGCTGTTGTACTGGTTGCCGTATTTTTCGGAGTATAAGACGCACTTCTCCCCCCTAAAAGGGGGTGAAAATTTGGGTGCGTCTTATACACTGAATGTAGCCCCGCCCACCTGCCCACCCCCACCCTTTGACCTCTGCCTCCCAGCAGTTTACCTCTAACAGCAAACAGCCTCTTTCAGCTTCAGCACACCCTGATTAACACAAGCAGCTGATTGTCAGTTGGATTGGCCTCCCAACCCTAAGCTGTTTCAGGCTGCAGGGATTGCCATTGCCTATTGCAGCACGGGCCTCTGCTGTTTACTGCAAAGAGACAAATTGCTTGGAGACAGATTTTTTTTTCTTGTACTAATCAGACTGTGCTGAAAATGAAAGGCTGTTCACTGTTTGCTGCAAGGAGGCAAATTGCTGGGAGGCAGAGGCAGATTTTTTTTTCTTGTTTTCCTCCCCAAAAATGGTAAATGCGTCTTATAGTCCGGAGCATTCTTATACTCTGAAAAATACAGTAATAGTTCTCTCTCTCAGGAAATTTCTCCCTGGTTCTAGGTTGCTTCTCTCCTTGATTAGTTTCCATCCATTGTTTCTTGTCCTGCCCTCTGGTGCTTTGGAAAATAAATTGACCCTCTTCTCTTTGTGGCCACCTCTCAAATATTGAAACACTGCTAACACTGCAAGAAATTATATTTCTTGACACTAGTCTGAATTAGTTTCCAAATATTGATTAAATCAATTGAGTAACCATCAGGCAAAATTAGAAATAGTAGATGAGATAAGGATTTGATTATAACAAATACTTACCAAATACCTTACTCGACTCTTAGAGTTTAGGACATGAAAAATGCATTTCAAAGTGACATCTACAAAAGCTTATGCTATAATAAATTTGTCAATTTTTAAGGTGCCATGATATTCTGTTGTCTTTGTTTAAGCAGATATCTGAACAGCCTGTTTAAAGGTTTACATATTTGTTCCTTGTTTCCAGTATGCATATTAAATGGATTCCAAAACTCTTGACATCACATCCTAAGTAAATTGATGAAAATAAAGGCGATTTCGTGTAAGATACTGGGCTATAAGAAAATTTACATGGGAAAGGATTATGTGTTTATTTGTATTTATTATTTTTTAGTTAGTTTTTTTAAAAAAATACTAACAATGTCAAAGCTGTCTCTTAAAATTCATAGAAACTATAAAATTTTATGGCAATATTTCTGGTTTTGACTTGTATATTAATAAGGAGATTATTACAGCAGTTAATCTAATTAGCAATAAAAATAATTACCAGGAATTGAATTGATTAATTTTCAGTTTACTTTAAATTACAGTTAAATTACACTATTTATCCAATTAAATGCAAATATCCAATTAAATTAAATTGAAATATTTTGGAACTTATTCCAAAGTCTTTAGCAATATAAATGGGATTAGACTCACTATCAATTTAGAATAATTGTTTTGCATTCTATCAAAAAATGTAAGTTCTGGTTGCTAGCCATAATTAGCGGGGGACACAATACAGTAAAATATGTGGAATCAATTATTTTTGGCATGCAGAAAAGAGTGTTATATAGAAAATTTTCTGCTGGTTTTTGGACTTGATCGGTGATCTTAGTGTGGAAAGACTTCACATTTTAGAACAGGGGTGTCAAACTGGTGGCCCATGGGCCAAATGCATCATGTGCAGGCCATGCCCATCCTATCTCTGCAAAGGCCAAAAACCGCGACAATACGTTGCAATACATCACATGACACGATCAAGTTTGACACCTGTGTTTTAGAATGTAATTCTGAAATTTCAAATGAACAAACAAAATATTCAAAATTATATCCAATTACTGATAATCATTTTAGATAATTCCGGAAAATATATGAATATAAAATACCACAAATATGCTTTATGTTCCATATTAGAAATGCATGGGTATTTTCAAAGTTCCATTTCATTTAACATGGAGCAGAGGGAAATAGATAGGAATTAGGTAATGAAAATGTAAAGTGTAGCACCTTATAATGAAGTAGGTAACACTTTTAATATCCTAAGCAAGCAACAAAAATCAGTATTGATTTGCTGACTTTTGTGGCTGCTGTTCATATATAGGAGAGGGAAGAAAGGGAATTAATTGTTTAGTGAATGTAAGCTGTGTAAGTCTGTGCGAAGTAATTCAAAATAGGAATTCAAGCAACATATAAGCCTGATCTGTTTGGAATTTATATCAAGGGGAGTAATACATAGTTTTATAAATTACCACTTTAAAAAAGCTAATGCTGTCATCGATGGATCTATTATATCTCAGTTCCTCGAGAAAAGTGCTTTTTTCATCCACATACAGTGCAATAGTCTCTGGATTCACCTTCCATTTCTCTGGCATGCACAGCTAGAACACATATTAGTTATTTGTGCACAAGGAGAAGGAAGGTTCAATGCATAGCTAAACCACAGAATTAATTAGTTTTAGTACAGTCTGAATTTATGACTAAATTCTATATAAACAGCACAACGTAATCCTTTATTAAGTAATGGTTTTATAAATCTTTTGGGAAATCATGTTTGGTATCTGCAAGCATTAAAAAAATAGATGACTCCAGAGATTTCTGTATTAACTATTCAGATTATATTTAAAGAATGAGAAGTGCTGAGCAATATAGCAGAAGCTATTTTTATTGAAAAATAATTTATATGGAGAGCTGTTTTGAAAATGGAGCATTTGAAAGTTATCTTGGCTGCTGATAAAAAAAGAACTAGACTTAATCATTCAGAGGGCCTAGAACAAGTATCCCAATGATCCTTTGGCAGAATTTTCTGAAAAGAGGCAGAAAACGTAACCTTCCTGTTCTAAAAGTTACTGATCTTGTCTTATCCCATCACTTGTTGCTAGAAAGAATTGTGTAAAAGGGTAAAGGTTCATTCTTTGAACTTGTGGACTTATTCTGAATGTTTCATTACCAGGCTAAGTAACATCTTCAGCAGAGTTTAGGGGATATCCGCTGAAGATGTTACTAGTCTGGTAACGAAACATTCAGAAACCAGCCTATAAGCTCGGAGAACAAACCCTCACCCACGTCCTACACCTGAGGTACAGATATTCACCATTGTTGCAAATTGTGTAAATCTTCCAACACATCTGAACTCCAGTTAAGCTTTGAAGGCAGCAGAGAAGGTTGCATCAAAGATGTATGCAGCAACCTACGTGTTTGGTCTAACATTCTTTTCCAGGAGGACACAATCTATAAAAGAAAATTGCAACACTATAAAAGAAAATATTTGGATGGTAACAGAACTCAGATTGCCTTTGTCCATAGTCAGTCTAAAGTGCTGGAAGATGATGAGAACTTGCAAACGTAAAAAAATAAATGGGGAGGACTGTTTGCCAAATTTCTCTTTCTGCAGTCTCCACAACAATAGAGGAAAGTCTTTCTTTGAAAGAAAAGTCTTTGGGATAAGACATTACACAGAAATGACCTTTACTGGAACAAACCTTAATGTTGTTTAAAGTCAGTTATTTGGGTTTTCACTCCATGGGATGTCCTCAATGATGTCTGAATAAAGTCCAACATATGAGAAGGAAGGTCAAAGTTCTGAGTTGCATCAATTCTACAATTCATTCATATAATTTGCTGATGTGATGAGAGATGGTATTATGGATTGGAGATAGCATTAGCACTTAGACTTATATACCGCTTTACAGTTCTTTACAGTTCTCTCTAAGCAGTTTACAGAGTCAGCATATTGTCCCCCAACAATTGGTTCTCATTTTACCTACCTTGGAAGGATGGAAGGCTGAGTCAACCTTGAGCCTGGTGAGATTTGAACTACCAAATTGCAGGCAGCTGGCAGTCAGCAGAAGTAGCCTGCAATACTGCACTCTAACCACTGCACCACCGCAGCTCATGGGATGGGAATAAAAAATGCAGCAGGCAAAGTCTTCATCATTATTGTAATTCTTTTTTCATGGTATTTAGTAGAGGCAGATATTCTTTATTGAAAGGAATGGAGGCAGGAGAAAACAATTGCTATCAATTCCTTTTTTTAGATGATTAGATTAATTCTTCACTAAATTATAAATTTCTGAATAAATGGTTTGGCTAGAGAGAGGATTTCTTTCAGCATTCCAAACACTCATCTTTTGTTCATCAGTTTTGCAGGTCTTCACAATTTTCAAATCCTGATATATTTGCATACCAACTGATATTGAGCAGTGATAGAACTATCATTTCATTGTTTAAAAATCTATAAAGTTATTGTATGCTTCTAATCAACTGGCCAGTTGTAAAAAAAAAAAACTTTCTGATATACTGCAGCATTTAGCTAGGAAAATTGTATTTCACTTTCCTAATTAAAACAACTTTTGAAACAAAACCTAATAAATACAACTTTGCTTAAGGAAAAAAAAGAATTCACTCATAATACAAATATGGAAATTAAAAACAAAATTAATTGTGAGGAAAGAATCAGAAATGTGTGAAAATAGAAAGTTAGCAGTGGAATAGAAATTGAAGATTAGAAACTTGATGTCTAATAGGAAATGATCTTGTCCTTCATTTAGAACAAGGGTGTCAAACTCAATTTCATTGAGGGCCACATCAGTATTGTGCTTGACCTCGGGTGGGTGGGGTGGCCAGAGAGGAAATGGCCGGGGGGCATGGCCAGCTTGATGCCATGGCCAGCACCTGTGGTGGCCAAGTGCTAAGGCAGGACTTCCCTCAGACCTTCCCTCCCTCTCAATATAATCCTTCCTTCCTTCCTTTCCTTCCTTCCTTTCCTTCCCTCCTTCCCTCCTTCCCTTTCTTCTTTTTCCTTCCCTTTTCCTTCTCCTTCCTTCTGCTCTTTCCTTATTTTTCCTTCCTTGCTTTCTTCCCATCTTCCCATCTTTTTCTTTTTTGTCTTTCATCTTTCCCTTTCTTCTTTTCTCTCTCTCCTTGGATGCTCAAATGCAAAAGGGGAGACATTTCTCCTTTCTTTTGTTTTGCATTTGGTTTGGTTTGCTAGCCCTCCACCAGTGAAAACAGAGCTCAGGAGGACTGCATGTGGCCCCAACCCCCAATTTTAGCCGCAACAGCCTCCAGCCATCTGCCAACGAAAACAGAGCTCGGGGGGCAACATGTGCAGCCCTCCCGAGCTCCGTTTTCACTGGCAGAGGCACTGCAGGCTGGTCCTTTGCTGTTTCCAGGGCGGTCCAGCAGGTGAGATCTAAGCATCCCATGGGCTAGAGCTGGCTCACGGGCCTTGAGTTTGACACCCCTGATTTAGAAGGAAAAAACAAGGAGGCATGATAGATATATAAAACCTTTTTCCAAGGCATCCTACAGAAAGTGTCTTGTGGAGTAGACAGTATCACCACCAGCTGAATTCACAACTGGTTGACCAATTGCACTCTATATCTTTAATGGAATCTAGATGGAGGGAATCATGCAATAAACTGCCATGAAGTTCTGTCTTGGAACCAGTGCTCTTCAACATTTTCATAAAAGATTTAGATGAGAGGATAGAAGGGGAACTCATCAAATTTATATTTGACATCAAACTGAAGGGAATAGCCAACAGTTTAGACTCAAGGGTACAGAAGGATCTTGATAGACTTGCACACTGGGCCTTATCCAACAAAATGCAATTTAGGGTTAAAAAAAATAAGGTCCTACACTTAGACAAGAAAAACCAAATGCACAGATATAAAATAGGTGGTACCTCGCTCCACAGCAGTTATTGTGAAAGGAATCTAGGTGTCCTAGTGGATCGCCCCTTAAATATGAGCCAGTAGTGTGCTGCAGTTGCCAAAAAAGGCCAATGCAGTCTCGGACTGTTAGTGCTCCATCACTGGAGGTTTTCAAGAAGATATTGGACAAACGTTTGTCTGCAATGGAATAGGGTATTCTGCTTGAGCAGGAGGTTGGACTAGAAGGTCCATTCCAACCCTATTATTCTATGTTTTCAACTCTTCAGGTGTTTGTTTATGTTATTTGCATCTTTCTGCCAAGTAGATCAAAGTCTCCTATTGTCATCAGGCTAGTCTCACTGTATCAGACCAAGGATACATCTTGTTGGCCACCCCATTTCTATTTGTGCGCAACCATTTACATGAAGAACACTTATTCCTGCACTGGGAATCAAGAGAATCAAGAATCAAGAGAAAGTCATGAGTGCTGCTGAATTCATTCCATTTGCATAAGCTTTGGAAGCAACAACCATGAAGTGCATAGTCAAGTAAGAGACCTGAGCATTTTCATTTACATCATACTATATTAGAATTGTGAGAGAAAAGTGTACAGTTGAATTTTTCCTTCTGTCTGTTGCCCTAAAAATGCAAGATTTAGGCATTTTCTAGCAGAGATATAATGAAATCTGGCATAGGTACTACCTCACTGCATCTGTGTGTTGCCAGAGACACTAATCATTAATGACTAATGCCATGCAATGTTAAACAGTGTTTGTGACCAAACTTTTATAGCTACTTCTTTGAAAATTTGTAACAAAATGTTCTGAAGGACAAACTTTGAATTAGGATCAACCAACAAACTGAACAAAAAAGGGATAGGGTTCAAAGAAAAATGTTTAATAAATGTTTAAATAACATGATAAAGCTGGTTTATAAATGTTTACATCCATCAAACATATATTATAATTTCTTAATTTTAGTTTGTTTATACTTATTTTTAAAGGAACTGCATTTATTAAAAACACATAAACAACTTTCCTTTTAAGGTGCCTTTGATATTTCTGAAGAACATTTTCTTAATAACATTATTCAGAGTGAGAACTCCTTGATAAAATGAGAAGCAATACGAAGTAAAGCAACAACATAATACACATACACACACTCTTTTAAATACATGCTTGAACTATGTCATGCTCAAACACTATATTAACAATAATATTTAATTATATATTGTAATTGTAATATATTGTTAATAATATATTGTATTCTTTAAAAACAGAACATTGCATATTCTTGGAGAAAATATTAAAATGTGTTCATACAAAGTTTGAGGTGTTGAAGTATAGAGATACATAAATTAATATACAAATAAAATAAAAATACATGTTGAATAAATAATTCTTTTGAACTTCATATTGTGTAGTCCATAATCTTCTCCTCTTTATTATCTTAATAGTACTTCTACTGCTTAACTTTTAGAAATATAATAGGATACAATATTAGAATCCCCATCTCACCAGTAATGCTGACCACAGTACTATAATATCTTGACACAACTATTCTGTCCACTCACAAAAAGGCTAGCAACTACCAAAACTATACAGGATGCAGAATGCCCTATTTTTATAAAAAAGAAACATACTTCCAGCCCTTCACATATATTAAAGATGCCAAGATTGAGAAACACTGATGTATATTTAATGTTGATTTCTTATCAGAAAGTCCCCTTTCTTGCTAAAATTCTTCTGTTATAAATTTAACCCTCCTCCTAATAAATATTATTAATCAGAACTGCTAGATTATTGTTCCTTGAATTAGGTGTTTTGAGTCTGAACTGTATAGCAGGAAATCTGACAGTATATTTGAATGGAGTCAAGCCAATTGGGATCACTGGAACTTCACAAAAAGCATCCTTAAAAACAGACTCTTGTCTAACCACATGCTTAAACTACATGCTTAAAGGTTAACAGACCCTGACCCTAGAAATGCAAACATTCAGCTTGCAAAAATACAATACATGTTTGTGCAAAAAAATTTTGCATTATTTTTGTGAGCTAATAAATTGTTCACATTCAGGATTGCCCATCATTTCAGGAGACTCAGTAATCCTCTTCCCATTCTTTGGATACACACACCAGCAATTTGCAGGATTTCCATCAAGTGAAGTTTCACACTAAGAGAATTTTTAAAAGCATATTAAAATGAGTAAATATGGGTTTTTTTCAGTAGGAAATAGTTCAAATATCAGAGAACAATTTTTATCTGGTTCCTATTCAAGTAAATTTTACTTTTTTTTTTTACATTATATATAGTTCAATCTTTTTCATCCCTAATGTACTTAATCCAATTATTCCCAATGTGACATTGAAAATCAGTTGACTTTGTCTAGTCCAGTGATGGCTAACCTTTTTGCCATCGCATGCCAGGAAACGGGGGGCAGGGGAGGTTCGCATGTACGTGTGCCCACACCCTAGTTCTATGCGCCTGCCCTGCGCCTGCACATGCAACCCCCCTCCCCCCAGCTCCTGGCACACAATGGCCTGATAGGCCCCCCTTTTTTTTCTCACCTGGCTCCAGATCCTCTCTATGCATCTGGGAAGGGCGAAAACAGCCTTTCCCACTCCCTCGGAGGCCCTCTGGAGGCCTGAAATGGCCCATTTCACAACTCCAGGTGAGAAAGAAAAACGGGCCTTCCCCACCCACCCCCAAGGCCATCCGGAGGCAGGAAACAGCCTGTTTCCCTACTTCTGGTGGGCCTAGAAGGCCCCAAAATCAGCTGGCTGGCGCGCGCATGCATTCCAGAGCTGAGCTGGCGTGTCCATGAATATGGCTACTCATGCAACCTGTGGCACACATGCCATAGGTTCACCATCACGGGTCTAGTCTCTAAAAAAAGCAATTTTTTGCTCGGCTGTTACTTCTTGGCTGAATTGGTACAAGGAAACTTTCCCAAAAGATTGAAAATAAGAAAGGTATTTCATGTAAATGAAGAGCGCATGTTGACTTTACACTAGATATTCCACTAGGTCATATACATAGTAATTCAGAAATACATGCTGGATTTTGTGTGTGTGTGCATACACACACGTGTGTGCGTGGGGGGATAAATGAAATTATCAAGCAAATCTATTTAAAGATATTTTAGCTGAATAATCATGATTTTTAATTGTTCACTCTAATATGTATAAAATTGTGCCAGATCTGCATATTAACTTAGCATTATCATACTATAAATAAATTGCTTTAAAAGTGCATGGGATCATCTACAATTCTGTGAACTTTGTTCCCCCTTCTCCATGGAAACCAATTCAGCTTCTTATGGGAACTTCTCTACTTCCTTCAGATCTTTTCTCTTAAAATATACAACTGAAATTGTTCCCTCAGAATAGAAAATTTGTTCTACTTCCTCCATCTTTATTTTTTTTTCTTACCAAAGTATAAGTAGACATAGCTATCCATAGCCCACTTGCACCTGTTATCATTATTACATCATCTATGAGATTTGTTTCAGATTGAAGATTTCTGCTTTTGAACATGGTTTTGGTGCATTATGAGACCTGCGGACATTTTGTTTCAAAAAAATGTGATGTCCTTAGAATGATATTTAACTCTGAATAGTCTGCTTTTGTTCTATCAAAAAGAAAAAGATTGGGCTGCCTTCATTAAGACACTTATAATCACAAGATTTTCATTTTTGAATTAACATTGGGACGGAGAGACTTGACTTCTATCATTTTCAAAATAAGGGTTTCTGAGCAGGTTTCATTTAATGAAAAAGGTAATAAACCTCATCATCCTTCAGTAGCTTGGAAATATCATTCCCATCCCCTACCCATCCACCTACCCCCAAAAATTACCTGTTTACTATGATAAAATCCATTCTTATTACAGTTGGGTAAATAGAATCTATATAACTGTTCTCCAGTAGTTTGTTGAGCTTTTGCCAACTTATCCAGTGCTTTGTACAGTTCTTTTTGACATGGTCCCTGAAAGAATAGTAAGATAATAAACAGTGAAACATTAGAATAAAGGCTGACAAGTCTGTGTCCTATTGCCTTACAAATAAGATAGCTATTTCTCTAATGTTTTTCTAGAAAACTACAGTGACAGAGCTTTTCCAGAAAACATCGACTGATATTCTTATTTTTTTCCCTTACTTTTATATTTGTTTATTTGTTTTCCACTTAATGCATTGTTCCTCAAACATTTCCTTCCCTCTCAGAAAGTTATTTCTATCCTATGTAGGTTAAATCCTTTAAGTCAATTTAAATGCCCCTGTTGTGACCGGGTAATCGGTTTGTTGTCATTATACAAAGAAATTCTCCTTTACATAATTTTGGGTAACTTGCCCAGGCCTGGAAAGAGCTGATAATGCAGTTGCTAAAATGTTATTTATTATAATCAATTTATTCCTTGCAATGTCTTAAGTGATTGGATTATAAATGCTTAGTTGCTAGTTGTAAACCAGTAGATTTGACAACACAGAAATAGAATAAATGACTATATGTTGCAGGTATATTCCTAAAATAAGAATACTTGAAAGCATTTGCTCTTTTTTATAAGTAAATATACATGAGATTGATTGTCCAAAATAGCCAGAGCAGAGACACTAGTCATATCTATAAATATTAGCTCTAAATAGAAAGAAGGATTTTCCTGATTATAACAGCTATCAACCACTTGCCTCATGAAGAGCTATGTGCTTTTTCATAATCATCTTCCTGAAATGCTACAGTAGATAATGCATCAAGCAGAGAGTTGAAATAGATGACCTCTGAGATTATTTCCAGCTGTCTTGATTCTATGATTTATGCATATAGTTTTAATAAAAACAAAAGAATTTGCTGGTGAATTGTATGATCATATGGACTGTATATATAATAAAGCCATATGACTGTAATATGTTATTAGACTTGGAAATGACATTAGGACTTCTGCATCATGAAAAGTTAATATGTCAAGTCATGTATAGTGCAATTATGTTCTGGTATTCTAATTAACTCATCACTTTTAGACCTTTAGTGCCATCAAGTGGTTCTTCTGAGCATACTCATATCTGCAAACATTCCTTATATAAAATCTATTTTGCATCCAGTGAGAGCCTTTGCTGATGAAGCAGTTGTTGCTTTGTTCTAGAACAGATCCTTTGTCACTAATGAAAAAGATGGTTCTACCAGAATCTTCAGACTTAACCCTGTGAGGGAAATTCCATGCTTTTCAAAACAAATTGCACCCTATTTTCAGAGAAACTTCTAATAAGAAAGTGCAATATCTGCTTTAAATGTCTCTTTTTCTTTTTTTTCTTTTATTTCATTTCCCTTCCAACACCAGGAAGCAGATTGGTAACCAATGCAGCTCATGAAGCAGTCAGTGGTATTACAGGAGCCATTCTTGGGATCCCCACAACTACCCACACTTCCGTACCAACTGTAGCTTCCAAATGTTCAGGTAGCCGCATGTAAAATGCATTACAATAGTCCAGCTGTGAGATGACAGAGGACTGAATGACTGAGTACAGGGAATCCTGATCCAAGAAAGACCGCTAGTGCACTACACAAGGTTGTGCAAAGATTCTTCTAGCTGCAACTGCCACCTGCTCCTCAATTAATGCCTCTTCCACAGAATGTGCAGATCTGAGGTTGAAATTGTTGTGTGATGACAGAGAGGTCTTACCTGTTCCCTCCACTTCTTAACTTCAGCAAGATTCTTTGCTCTCAAATTTTCATAAATGTTATTAGCATCCCATGAGGCAGATTTATCTTGATCAGCTGAAAACACCATCTCATAGTTGACCAAGTGATCTGCTGTTATTTCATCACCTTCAGTGGGCAGATCTTCTGGTTCTACAGATTCTAAGAGAAGAAATCAAAACAATAGTATATTGTATGATACTTCAGCTAGAACAAAGCTTTATTGGAAATGAATTAAGGTTGTCAAATAGAAAATTTGTAATGGGCCATCAAAACCTATCATCTCTGTATGTTCATTAATACTATATATCTAGGGAAATAAATAATAAAATAATAAATAATTTTATTTCTATACCACCCTTCTCCCGAAGGAGTTACAATTACATTCAATAATAATAATAATAATAATAATAATAATAATAATAACCACTATTATTAGAAGATTGCACAGACTAACTACAAACAACAGCAAGACAAAGTAGTAACAATGGTGCATTGGAAGATTTGCAAGAAATACCATTTGTCTGAAAGCAAGAACTGGTGGGACCATAAAATAGAGACAGTAATAAAAAATGAAGATGCTCAAGTGCTCTGGAATTCATACAGACAGGTATCTGCCGCATAATATGCCAGACTTAACAATTGTCAATAAGAAAGACAAAAAATGCCTGGATGATGGATGTGGCAGCACCTTGAGCAGGAGAAGGGAAGGGAAGGGAAAGAATTAGAGAAAATAACAAAATACAAAGACCTGCAAATATAAATAGAATAACTGTGGCAAAAGAAAGCAAAAAGAGTACAACAGTAATAAGTGCCTTGACTACAAAGTCAAAATAATTGGAACACTACTCGAACACCATGGGCATTGACAAATTCACTATTGATGAATTGCGAATAGCAGCTTTACTTTAAACAGTTTACATCTTCTTAGAGGATACCTCTAACACCACAAAACATCAACATCTGCAGACAATATGGATAACAACAGGACCTGCCAAGGTCTGTAAAAGACTAACCCTTAAGAACAAATGCACAGAAAGCCAGAATTGGGAAGACAGCAACAGACAGCAATAATACCTCTGCAAAGCTGAAAAAACAGTGACCACTTGAATAGCAGCTGCAAGAAAATTGTATAAACTGCCTACAAACAATGCATAACAAAGTAGCAATAAGGGTGCATTGGACAATCTGCAAGAAATACTCTATCTACAAGCAAAAACTGAATGGACCCATAAAATAAAGAAAATAATAGAAAATGAAGCAGCTAAAGTGCTTTGGGATTTTCGAATTTAAATAGAATAGAATAATAACAGAATAGCACTTGTAAGGGACCTTTGAGGTGTTCTAATGCAACCCCCTACTTGAGCAGGAGACCTTATCCAGAGATGGGATGCTACCGGTTTGCACCGGTTTTCTTGAACCGGATGTTAATTTTCTGAACAGTTCAGAGAACCGATTGTTGGAAGAAATCTAATCCTGCAAGGAATGCAGGAAGGAAAGATTCTAGTGTGCCTGTATTTCTAGCCTAATCCTTATCTTAATTGCCGCCCCTGCTGCTTTAAGTGTTTTCAGAAACTGCCCAGATTTTCTGTAGCTGAGCTTCTCTGGAGTCATTGACACACACACACACACATACACACACAGTTTTTTTTTTTTGTGGTACTTTTATTCCTGGGGCTTCAACAACTATTTACAGAAGGGTTGGGATAGCCATAGAAGAAACGGCTGCGAGGCAGGATGCAAGCTTGGCATTCTGTCTGATTTTTTTACTGCCTTTCTGAGGTCATGTGATTTTTCCTTAAATCTGGATGATTACCTTAGAACAGTGGTCCCCAACCCCCGGTCCGCGGACCGGTGCCGGGCCGTGGAGTATCTGGCACCGGGCCGCACAGCGGCCGGGGGACATGAACGCTGCAGCGCAAAGGCTCCTGGGCCGTGCGCAAAAGCTCCTGGGCCGTGCCCCCACCCCTGCGCGCGCTCAGCGGGCCGCGGCGATAAAAAGGTTGGGGACCACTGCCTTAGAATATCTTGTGAGGTGAGTGAGACCAACTGGTATCTTTAAGTGGTGCAAATGGAACTAATGATTGCTTCTCCTCGATGCTTTGTCAGTTCACTGAGCACAGGAGTTTCTTGTCTATGGGGATTCTTCAGTCATCCAGGTCATGGTTGTCCCAAAGGTGCTTTTTTCAAGAGGCAACTGGACTTTCTTGGTTTCTAGAAAGTCCAGTTGCCTCTTGAAAAAGCACCTTTGGGGCAGGAGTCTCTTACATTACTTCAGAGTGGGCAAGGCAATGATTGCTCACTGATAATAAATGGATCCTCCTTCCAGTTTGTTATAGTTTTCTCTCATGATAATATGGCATAATAACATGGCACCAATTGTAGAAAGTTAGCATCCACCCCTCTCTAGAAGAATGAAATATTTTGAGAAATATTAAAAAGGAAGAATATATTTCCCTGAATGAGAAATGGAGAAACATGTTTTCTTAGAGGAAGAAAGCAATAATCCTTAATAGTCCGCAGCAGATGTCAGCACTTAAGAGATAAAGAGATAGATAGCTATATTAATAGGCAAAAATTCCCTGCAGCAAAGTCTGAACAAAGGCAGAATGGAATTAGCCCTCACTCAAGATGTTAATTTGTCTCTTTAGCTTTGCATTTTGTATCCCAAATATGCCCACCCACTTTCTGGAGAACTTAAAGGATCTCTCTGCTAAAGGATTTCACTTTATGAGCAAGAATAGTTTCCATCTATTATTCTTGTCTTGCCTACAGATGCTTTGGTAGAAGTGATTGCAAATTAAATGGACACTTGTTTGCAGTTGGCAGTACTACTTAGAAACTGATAAAATATCCATTCTTAGTTCATATAGAGACTATCCTCTTGTTTATTTACTTACAGGACTTACATGGCCACCTATCTCACACAGACTCTAGCTGACTCACAAGAAAACATAAAACATAGTTTAAAATAAAGGTACCCTTTCTGTCAGGCATCAAACCAAACTTCCTTACAACTCAACCCCCATCCTAGCTGTGAAAGACTAAACAGGTAAGAGTCCTTCTATTTCTGGTGGGAGGCTGATCCAAAGGACTAATGGGGGCCATGGAGAGGACAATCTCAAAAGTACCATCAGATGCCATTCAATCAAAATAGAGCTGGAAGGGACCTTGGAGGTCTTCTAGTCCAATCCCCTGCTCAAGCAGGAGACCCTATACCAGAGATCCTCAAACTTGGCAGCTTTAAGATTTGTGGACTTGTGGACTTCAACTCCCAGAATTCTCCAGCCAGTTATGCTATACTGGAGAATTCTGGGAGTTGAAGTCCACAAGTCTTAAAGCTGCCAAGTTTGAAGACCTCTGCCCTATACCATTTCAGATAGGTGGCTATATAGTCTTTTCTTAAAAACCTCCAGTGATGATGCACCTACAACTTCTAAAGGCAAACTGTTCCACTGGTTAATTGTCCTCACTGTTAGGAAGTTTAATTCCACGTTGCTTCTCTCCCTGATTAGTTTCTATCCATTATTTCTTCTCCTGTTCTTGTTATGGAAAATAAATTGACTTCCTCTTCTTTGTGGCAGCCTCGCAAATACTGGAGTATTGCTATCATGTCATGTCTAATCCTTCTTTTCTCTAGACATATCCAATTCCTGCAACCATTCTTCATATGTTTTTGTCTCCAGGCCCTTAATCATCTTAGTTTCTCTTCTTTGCATTTTTTTCCAAAGTCTCAGCATCTTTTTTGTAATTTGGTAACCAAAACTGGATGCAGTATTCCAGTTGTGTATTCCAGGTATGGTCTTAACCAAGGATTTAAAAGTGGTACTAATACTTCACATTATTTTAATTCTATGCCTCTGTTTATACAACCAAGGATTGTACAGCTTTTCTGGCTGCCACAGCACATTACTAATTCATGTTTAAGTGATCGTTCACTAGGACTCCAAGGTCCCTCTCACACTGTTTTTGAGCCAGGTTTAACCTAATCTGTACATGTACCTTTGGTTTTTCCTGCCAAAATGTAAAAACTTGTTTTTCTTCCCATTAAATTCCATGTTGTTGGATAGGACCCATTGTTCAAGTCTGTCAAGATCTTTTTGGATCCTGAGCTTCTCTTCTATTCCTGCCAGGTTAGTGTCATCTGCAAATTTGATGAGTTCTCCTTCTATTCCCTCATCTAAGTCATTTATGAAGCTATTGAAGAGTACTGGGCCTAAGACAGAACCTTGTGGTACCCTACTGCTTACTTTCCTCCATGTAGATGTAGTACCACTAAAGTAACTGTACATGAGTACAGTTTGTCAGCCAGTTACAAATCCATCTGGTGATAGTGCTGTCTATTCCACATTTTTCTATTTTACCGAGAAGTAGGTTGTGGTCTACTTTGTCAAATGCCTTGTTGAAGTCTAAGTATACTATCTACACAGCATTTTGTTGGTCTACTAATTTAGGCACTTTGTCAAAGAATGAAACAAGATTGGTTTGGCATGATCTGTTTTTAACAAACCTTTGCTTTTTGTTTTTTAACAAAACTTTACTAGTTTATTTGTCTCTAGATGTTTCCAGATCTGTTTTTTTATTATTTTCCCCAATATCTTCCCAGGTATTGATGTTAGGCTGATTGGTCTGTAGTTTCCTGGATCTAGGTTTTTTCTTTTTTCTTTTTTGAAGATGAGAACCACATCAACTCTTTTCCATCTTCTGGTAGTTCTCCGGTACTCCAGGATTTTTATAGATATGGTATAATCGTTCTGAGATAACATCTGTCAGTTCCTTCAGATTACATCTGAGATGTAATCCATCAGGTCCCAGTGATGTATATTCATCAAGGTCTGAAAGGGTTCTCTTAACATTTTCTTGCTTATTTTAATTTTAATTTCTTAGGTTTTTGGTAGATTGGACTATACTTTCTTTTTGCATGGAGACACATGCAAATAATGAGTTAAGCAGCTCTGCTTTCTCTCTACTGCCTGCTACTTCCTTGCCATCTTCTCTCTTTAGTGAACTGATTGTTTCCTTGACTTTTTTCTTGTTATTTATCTTGATATTTAAACAAAGAGGCACCCACCGCATATACTCCAACTTATCAACTGTCAATAAGAAAGAGTCTGGATAGTGGATATGGCAGTACCTAAAGACAGCAGAAGAGAAGAGAAATTGGGAAAAAATCATAAAATACAAAGTCCTTCAAACAGAAATAGAATAACCTTGGCAAAAGAAAGCAAAGATAGCACCAATAGTCATAGGGCCTTGGGTACAATCCCAAAACAACTCGAACACCACTTGAACATCACTATTGAGAAAATCACCATCAGTCAATGATAAAAGGCAGCTTCACTTAGAGCAGTTTATATCCAGTAATGATACCTTTAATACAATCAAATATCAACATCACTCTTTTCCAGGTCCTGGGGAGGACTTGATAGGGGTATAAAATTCCCAAACCTGTATAACAACTGAAACTGCAATAACAATAATTGACAATTGTCACTAAGAAAGACAAAAAAAGTCTGGCTAATAGATGTGTCAGTGCCTGGAAACAGCAGAATGAGAGAGAAAAAGCTAGAAAAGATAACAGAATATGAAGACCTGAAATAGAAATATAATGACTGTGCAAAAGAAAGCAAAGGTAGTACCAATACTAATAGATGCAATCCCAAAACATCTAGTGGACCACTTGAATATCATTGACAAAATCACCCCCTGTGAGTTGCAAAAGACTATTTTATTTGGAACAGATTACATCCTGTGATAATATCTTTAACACTATCAAATACAAACAAATTCAAACACAATAAAACATCTGGTGCTTGGGAAAGATATAGTAGGTGGATAAAAATGTCAAATTCATTCTAAACAGGTGGTTGATTGCCAACCAGCCATTGTATATTTAAACCTGTAGGCTGCCCAAGTCTTAAAGACTCCAGGCAACTCACTACAGTTAAGCAGACATTACAATAGAATCAATAAAACAAAAATTCCCAACAAAATGCCTGCAGAAATCAGGATGGATGCAAACACCTCTCCTAGTGCCTAGGAGATTTATTTATTTTATTATTTATTATTGACTTTAATTTTACTGTAATTTTAAGAGATTATTTTCATTAAAAAAAAATAAACAATGAGAATTCAGTGTGCAGCATAACATTTCAGCATTTTCAAAAATGCCTTTGGCTCCCAAATATCTTCCTATAGATATTCATAGATAAACACAGGAGTGACTCTAGCCCTTTGGCTAGTTTGGAAGTGTTCTTATCTACTCATCAAAAACAAATCAAATCAATCAATCAGCTGAGATGAAAACATCCTAAGAAATAAAAAGAGGTGGGTATGGAATAACTTAAGCAGTTTGCTTTTGAGTGTTTGGCTATTGTGTGACAGGCTATGCCCACTAAATCAGCCATTTTGTCATTGCCAAGCCCATCCTCATGGAAGATTTTTTTATGTTCACAGAACAACCCACAACATGTAATGCCTTTTTTTTGAGAGAGAGAGAAAACTATCATGATATACTCTAAAAATCCAGATGTGCCATGTGTAGAAATATTGGAGATTCGTAGTCTAAATTAATTTTCTTTTATCTTTCACGTTTTCTTTAAAAATGTAGTCTTATACTGTTAAATCAGTGCATTGGCAATGCCAAGCATTGACATTCTAGAAGATGAAGACTATAAATTCCTGAAATAGCCAGCCAGCCATTGAAATTTTTGGTAATTTTCCAAGAACATCTAGAGGTCAACAGAATGCAGTGGTCTGGCCCACCTAGTCTTACATATCAGAGAATTTTCTGCATACCTTTTCAACAACTAGACATCAAGCATTGTATACATTTTACTGTGAAACATTTCCCCTATGACTATTCAAAATCAGAATAGCATAGATTAAAATTAATAATACATTCAGCCTAATGGTTTAAGTCAAAATGAGAGAGTTCCTGAATTTGGATGCTCAGTGCCCTTTAGCCAGTTTCTCTCCTCCTGTTCTAATCTATCTCACAGCACTGCTGTGAGAGCAAAATGAGAAGCTTGTTGCAGGAAGAAGCACATTAAAGAATTAAAATTTCACAATTAAATATAATGAAAAGTCTGCACAAGGGATGTAGTTATAAACTTTGTTTTTCTTGTCACAATATATGGGTTATGTTGCTGCTGAAATTGGTTTATTTGGTGTTCATGCAAGCTGCTTTTCAAAATACTATCAACTGATTTTTTAAATAGAAGGTTCAGCATTTTCTTTAAAAATGCAAATGACACAACAGAAATGGTTTTTAAGAATGAGAGTTGAAGGAAAGTTTCTAGTAACTGCAGGGGAAAAATGCTCCTTTCCTTATTTCAGTTTGCTGAAAATTCAGTTTAGGCATGATCTCTTTAACAATGTCAATAGTTAAATGCATTAATGAGGGCTGAAAATACAACATGCATGTAACAGGTAATACAGAGGCCAAGGGACTAAATGTACAGTACTTACTCCTATCTGAAAGCAGACTTGATCAAATCAAAATCAAATCTTTATTGTCAATGCACACCATACATACTTGATGACAGTTATGGGTTTCTACTATTTAATCTGTAAATCAAAATCGATGAAACTTTAATAAATAAATTTTCAATCACTGTACATGAGACCATAAGTAATTAAGAGGGGATCAATGGGTTGGAGTATTTTACAGAAATATTATTCCATTTCTATTTAGTTTAGCAGTACTAACATGTCCCTATGTAAGGGAGATGGGTAGTTTCTAAATTTGATAGGTAACAAACAAACAAATGATCTTGTCTTAAAACAAAACACGCATGCACAAATGCTTTCTATCAAAACTTTAAGAAGTTGTTGCCTCGTCCCATCATTGGGAGACAGATAACAAAGCAACCCCCCCTACTTTTAAAAAAAAGCTTTCCCATAGCTATGACTGTCAACCTTATCCTATTATCTTTCTTGGTCCTCCATGTGCTTTTGATTTTAGGAGTAATCTTATTTTGAAAATGCCATTGTCTGATTCCTATAGTCTTTGAGCCAGTTCTTCGGTATCAGATATTGAATGGCAAGTTCTGGACTGTGTTTTCTTTGATAGTGTTTTTGTCTCTATTTCCCAATCTTTGTTTTTGAACCCATCCCATAAACTAAATTAGGTAGATCATCTCTCAATTTCAGCCATGCTGAAACAAGTTAACATTTCAATCTTGGCACAAGATCACTCTAATCACTGTCATTTTCTCTGCCAGTCATCAGCCTCAACCAGCATTCTGAGTATGAGCAAAAAGACATACAGAAAGATATATTTCTTACCTGCAGTTTCTGTCCTGTCAGCAATGGGGAGGCAAGTACCTTGCCCCTGAGTGAGAACATAAAGAGGTCGAGCTTGATCTACCTGTACCTGGCAACTAAGCCCCTGGCTACACCTTGCTGTGTATATTCCACAAGGCTCCCCCAGTTGAAGGGCACAGCTATGACAGCAACTACATCCTGGTTGGCGGGATGTTTCTGGGCAGCTGGCGGACACTGGTGGGCAAAGCCTGAGCTTTTCTTCAGTACAAGGGGCACAATGCATTAAATGGAGAGCAGCACCCAAACTGAAGCCAGGCGCAAGAAATAAGAGCAGCAGCTGACAGCTGAAGCCTGGGTAAGTCATGACACGTTAGAAGGATTGTGAAGCAGAGTCTGCTGCTATTAGAGATAGAGGGACACACTATTCAGCTTTCCCATGCAGCTAGTCCTGAATTATCCACAGTGGGCCATTTATACATTTTCTTGAGAGTCTGTTAATCTTTAAACCTAAGTTAACTATTATTTGAAGAGGAGGGACATAAAAATAGAATTTGATTGGTAGTTTGTATCCCATCCCCCTTATTTAATTATTTTCCCCTTTTATTAAATGTTGCAATAATTCATCACTATTCAATTCATTCTTAACCTTTTCAGGACAGTATAAACATGTCTATAGAAAAGGGATGGCCATTCCATTCTTATTTTTGCCCTTTTGCCTAGGGAAGAAGGGGATAAAACTTTTTTATTAGAAAAGAAAAAATGGAGGGGTGGGAAGGATAAGTATTTCCCACTCTCTCATCCCAAAACATCAAGAGGTGATTTCATATTTGCATGAGAAGGGATGTAACAGTCTCTTGTTTAATTTTTGTCATGTGGCTGGAGGTTATTAGAACAGTGATGTATCAACAGAGGCCCCTGGAGGGTCATCAAAACTCTTTAGATCCAGTAACCTCTGAACATAGCACATAGGAGCTAATGTCAATTTGTGTACTAGCAAGAATTGTTTGCTATAATTTCTTGGGGAGGTACTTGTCCTCAAATAGAACTTAATGTGAGCATCTGATCCACTGGGGATGGGAAGGGGTTGGATGCGTATCTAATCATCAAATAAAAGAAAATACCAATTATTCAACCCTTCATGGCAATCAACATCCTCACATTTCAGAATGAATATACAAAACCTGCATCCTAACACACCTATCCTTAGTAAATGTCAAGGACACTTAATTACAATTAAGAGAGTAAAAAGCTACAAAAGAGAAAAGACAAAGTGCCTGCAAGGGCCCGAAGAAGTACCGAAGCAATAAAACATGATTTTTAAAAAAGGAGGAGGGCAAGTGATGGAAAATGCTACAGCTGTGGAAACAGCATTAATTATTACAGACATGAGAAAATAGCATTCTTTTAAAATCTGGCAGTATAAAATATTGAAAGTATTAAGTTAATAGTTGCAGCTTTAATTCAGTATTGGGGATGGTGTACAGACTGCTACCAGCCTATCACATAATAGATTAGACCAACATTTCTCAACTTGGGCAACTTTAAGATATGTGGACTTTAATTCTCTGAATTTCTTAGTCAGAATCTGGGAGATGAAGTTCACATAAAGAAAGAATACAGAGAAGAGCAACAAAGATGATAATGAGTTTGAATGCTAAACTGTAGAATGAGTATGTGCAGTCTAACAAAGATAAGAAATAGGGATAACATGATAGCAGTCTTTCAATACTTGAGGGGCTGTCATGGAGAATAGATTGACCTATTCTCCAAAGCATCTGAGGGCAGGGCAAAAAGTAATGGGTCAAAGATCATTAAAGAGAGATTCAACCTAGAATTAAGGAGAAATTCCCTGACAATTAATAATTAATCACTGAAAAGGTTTGCCTTCAAAAGTTGTGGATGGACATATTTTAAAAGAGATTAGATAGCCATTTATTTGGAATGGCATAAGGCTGTGATAGTGAACCTATGGCACACATGCCACAGGTGGCATGCAGAGCCCTCTCTGTGGGCATGCCAGCTGTCGCTCCAGCCCTGGTCCACCGCGTATGTGCATGTGCCTCCTGCCGGCCAGCTGGTCTTCATGCACTGGTTTCTGCCGTGCATGCATGGGGGATAGGGCACATGCGGGGGATGTGCGCACGCATGCGTGGAGGGGTGGGGGGCATGCATGGGGCTGCATGTTGGTGCAGGCTTTGCAGACCCAAAACAGAGTGCAGAGGCCTCCTGCACCAACCTTGAAGCCAAAATGGGGCACAGGAGGGTGGGGCGCATGCGGGGGCACATGGGCAGGGTGCTTACATTGCATTTTGGGGGTTTGGGCACGCACACGTGCATTTGCACACATGCACGCTTTGGGCACTCAGCACCAAAAAGGTTAACCATCACTGGTATAAAGTCTCCTGCTTCAGCAGGGGGTTGGACTAGAATAGGGGTGTCAAACTCAATTTCATTGAGGGCCACATCAGAGTTGTGTTTGACCTCAGGGGGGCCAGAGGGATGTGGCCAGGGTGGGCATGGCCAGGGTGGGCATGGCCAGATCGATGTTGGGGCCACCTGTGGTGCCCAAGTGCTAAGGCAGAACTTCCCTCAGACTGTCCCTCACTTTCATTCTAATCTTCCTTCCTTCCTTCCTTCCTTCCTTCCTTCCTTCCTTCCTTCCTTCACTCCAGAAGATAGGCTTAAGATACAGAAGGATCTTGACAGACTTGAACATTGGGTGCTATCTAACAAAATGAAATTCAATGGTGAAAAAAGGTTCTACATTTAGGAAAGAAAAACAAAATGCACAAGTACAGTATATGTGGTACATTGTTCAATAGTAGTAACTGTGAGAGGGATCTTGGAGTCCTAGTGACAACCATTTAAATATGAGCCAGCAGTGTGCAGCAGCTGCCAAAAAAGCCAACACAGTTCTAGGCTGCATAAACAGAGGGATAGAATCAAGATCACGTGAAGTGTTAATATCACTTTATAATGCCTTGGTAAGGTACACTTGGAATACTGCATTCAGTTTTGGTCGCCACAATGTAAAAAAGATGTGGAAACTCTAGAAAGAGTGCAGAGAAGAGCAACAAAGATGATTAGGGGACTGGAGGTTAAAACATATGAAGAATGGTTGCAGGAACTGGTTATGTCTAGTTTAATGAAAAGAAGGACTAGGGGAGACATGATAGCAGTATTGCAAAATCTCAGGGACTGCCACAAAGAAGAGGGAGTTTAAGCTATTCTCCAAAGCACCTGAGGGTAGGACAAGAAGCAATGGGTGGAAACTAATCAAGGAGAGAAGCAACTTAGACCTAAGGAGAAATTTCCTGACAGTCAGAACAATTAATCAGTGGAATAACTTGCCTCTAGAAGTTGTGAATGCTCCAACACTGGAAGTTTTTAAGAAGATGTTGAATTACCATTTGTCTGAAGTGGTGTAGGCAGTAGTGGGCTTCAATTTTGGCTGCTACTGCTGCACTCCTGGGCGCACATGCTCTTGCACGCATGATGCTTCTGCGCATGTGCAAAGACGTCGGGACGGGTGGGCAGAGCTACCTGAACCGGGGCAAACCAGTAGCAACCCACCACTGCATGTAGGGTTTCCTGCCTAAGTAGGGTTTTGGACTAGTAGACCTCCAGGGTCCCTTCCAACTCTTATTGTATTGTATTGTATTGTATTGTATTGTATTGTATTGTATTGTATTGTATTGTATTGTATTGTATTGTATTATATTATATTATATTATATTATATTATATTATATTATATTATATTATATTATATTATATTATATTATTCCTTCCTTCTTCTTTTTCCTTCCCTCTTTCCTGTTTTTCCTTCATTGCTCTCTTCCCATCTTCTCATCTTTTTCCTTGTATTTCCTCTTTCCCTTTCTCCTTTCCTGTTACTTCTTGCATGTTCAAATGCAAAAGGAGAAACATTTCTCCTTTTGTTTTGTTTTTAGTTTGTTTTGATAGTCCTCTGCCAGTGAAAACGGAGCACCCCATGGGCCAAATCCAGCTCGCAAGCCTTGAGTTTGACACCCTGGGACTAGAAGATCTCCAAGGTCTTTTCCAATCCTGTTATTTTACATTTTATATTCTAATATTTCTAGAAATATTTTAATATTGAATTATTTGATTGGGTTTATATGATGGGCTAGCTGTTAACATAATAATATAATCTGCAAGGCATATTATTAAATTTGCATAAATCTACTTAAAACTAACTCCTGCTGTCTTTACTAGGGTAGATTTCAAAGTATTTTAATATTGCAGCCTTAATTTTGTTTTATCCTATATTGAGTTTTCTTACCTATCCAGCCAGAAAGCTTTTTTTTTTAATCAACTCTTTGCCATAAATGTTTCCTTTATTAATACCCTGTTTCCCCCAAAATAAGACATTCCCTGATAATAATCCCAATCGGGCTTTTGAGTGCATGGAAATAAGGCCAAGCGCTTATTTCAGGGTTCAAAAAAATATAAGACAGGATCTTATTTTCGGGGTAACACGGTAACAACATTTAAGAATGGAATGATATCTACAGCATGATAGTTTTGAAAATATTGGGAACTCAGGAGAGTAGACCAACCAAAATGGGGTATAGATTAGTATGGTCTCCATATGTAAGTGTGTTCTAAGAATATCTATGTTTTTGGGACATATCATACTGGCAGAAAACAGGATATGTTAATTTTATATTTAAATAGAAATTAAATAAATATTACTTATATTTTGGCAGTGGTTAGCTCTCCAAGCTTGTTTCAGTTTAGTTTCTGAACATTTCATTATCAGACTAGGTAACAATATCGGTAGGATTTTCTTGTCTTATTCTCCTTAGCTTATAAATATCATGTGTGCAGTTTGATCAGTTGTTCCTGTGATTGGTTGTTCATTTGGAGCTATATTTATATTAATTATATTTTCAGAATTTGAAATTCAGATTATATACTTCACATGAAGTTATTTTTACATTAGCACAGGGGTGTCAAACTCAAGGCTGGATCCAACTCATGGGGTACTTAGATCTGGTCTGTGGGGTTGATCTGGAAACAGTGAAGACAGGCCCACGGCCTTCACAAGCTCCATTTTTCCTGACAGATGGTTGCAGGAAATGGATCTTGGGAGTCTGTTTTTGCTGGCAGAGTGCTCGGGCACAACCACAGGCACCCCTGTGATGAGTGATTTTGAGCTGGCCACACCCACCATGGCCATACCCACCATGGCCCCCCGACAGAACTCTGATGTGGCCCTCAATGAAATCGAGTTTGACACCCCTGCTTTAGCATATTTAAACCCTTAATCATGTTTTAGATGTATTATTAAGAGTAGATTTTCCTTTATGCCTATGGAGATTTTCTCTGGCTCAAAATGCTTTATCCGGGCTCAATTTGAATGCATGTTCCATTTTATTGACATTTAAAACTGGGCAGTTCTTTATCCCAAAAGATGTATTGACCCTTGCTGGCCAGCTTGAATAGGATTCAAGAAAACTTGATTTAAAGCTCTATGTAGTAATCTG